AGGGCTCAATGACACAGTTCAGCAGGTAGTGCAAGGGTGTGAAATATGCAAAGAACAAAACCCTCCAGGCCCCAGGGACACAGAGACAAGGGACTTACCCTGGTGAGGACTGGCAGTTGGACTTTACTCATAAGCCAGGAGGGCCTAGCTCAAAATTGTTGCTAGTGCAGGATGGGAAGAGGCCTTCTCTTGCAAAACTGAAAACTTTAGAGAAGTAATCAAAATTCTAATAACTGAAATCATTCTCCAATTCAGCCTTCCTAAAAATCTCCAGAGTGATAATGGCCCTGTCTTTAAAGCTGAAGTAACCCAGGGGCTCTTGAGATCCTTGGGGATAGACTATCACCTCCACTATGCTTGGCAGCTACAATCCTCTGGTAGGGAGAAAAGTCAGCTCTTAAGGAGATAACTACCAAACTCATCCAGGAAACGTAGTCCCCATGGATCAAACTTCTGCTACCACACTCTTCAGACTTAGAAATACCCCTGGGAAGCAGGGCCTGACTTCCTTTGAGTCTTTATATGGCAGGTCATTTCTTACTAATGACTTCCTTCTCAATCCAGAGACAGCTCAACTGGTGTCCCATATGTCACCCAACTTGCAAAGTTCCAACAAATGTCCTCTGAGATCTGAGAAGGAATTCCCAGGGAACAAATGAGTGGACTCCCTCTATTTTGCCCGGAGGACCTAGTCTTGATTAAATCTCTAGACCCCGGCCAAAACTTAAACACGTCCCCCAACAGCAGTGCAGGTGGCAGAACTAGACTCCTGGATTCACCATTCAAGGATAAAGCACTGGGACCCTCCAAAGAAGGATGTCCAATCGCCATTGGACCAGCTGACCTAACAGTTCCAGATAATGCTTTCTCCTGAGAACTTACCAGGGGATTCAAGCTACTCTTCAAGAAGCAGACTCCTACTTCTCAGATAAGTGATGCCTGAATTTTGGGGGCCTTTGTTGTCTTTGGAATAGTCATAATAATTATTTTTGTGGGGGACATATTCTGTAGCACCCTCTAACTGGACTATCCCAGAGAAACTCTCCTTTTGCTTCTCTTTTTCTTCCATATCTACTCTATTTTGGGGTCTCCTCTATGTCTGAACCTTCGACAAGCTCCTCTTCAAAAAGGCTCTGCCCAATTCAGCTAGGTAACTATGTTCCTTGCATTCCTTTCTCTATTCTCACTTTTCTCCCCCCATGGGTGGCATCTGGGAGGAAAATTCCTTCCTCTCCCTCTCTTAAGTCTTAGCCAGAGAGAACTCCCCTCTAAAAACTGTTGGCTCTGCTATGAATGGCCCAATGCTGGCAAAATTCCTGAGTGGTTTATCATCAATTTCACAGAATCTTTTACAGCTCATTCACTCCCTCTTATAGGGAAGCCTTTAAATTTTACTGTGCCTCTAATTTCCTTAGCAGGAACCACTCTCCTCCCTAGTAGCCTGCCCCCCCTCCACCTTGTGTTGACAGATGTCTCTGAGTATTTGTGGAATACTAGCACACTCTGATTTCAATGTGTCAAGGGACCTCTCCTGCCAAAATCCTAAAAGAACACATGACCCAAACTGCAGTAATATGACAGGCATTCCTTGTCCTTATCCAGGTGACACTGTCACTTGTCAACATTGTAATGGCACCAAAGAGATGTATGTTTGTACCAAATGCCATGATTTCCAAGCTAGCAATTGTACCATCATCAGACAGTATCTCTTGGATCCTACTGCACTATATGGGGCACAGCAAGACCTGCAATTATACCCAGACACAGATTTCTAGGAGTCTACTTAATAATTATATACAGAACCTCACCTGCAAGCTCTGCCTTAGAAATCCCTATAGGACAAGCACCAGGGTGTCCCTGGGAATTTTTCAGCTGACCCTAATCTAAATCCCTCCAACTTCTCTACAATGAAGCTACTCTGTCAATCCCTGGGTTACTTATTCACTGGAGTAACTCTCAATGCCACCAAATAAGGAGCCTTTGGACTCCAATGCTTACATTCTTACCACCGGACAATTAGTTCCTAATGACAAACAGGTTACCTTCTGGAATAACTCCATCTTTCAAACTATGGAGTTCTCCCAACAAACTGGGACTTCTATTCACAGGAATAAACAGGAACCTGTAACCTTAATGGTCTTAGGAATTAAGCCCTGATACCAAACTTGCAGGACTGACCTATGGTGTACTGGCCAATACCATGACTGCCACCAATTTAACTCATGCTGTGGCACATGTGGCAATGGAAATTGGGCTCAACTTTAAGGATATGCAAAAATCTCTTAACTCTTTAGACAAGATGGTCTTGGACTACCATCTGACCCTTGACTTCCTATTAGCCAAGCAAGGCAGAGTCTGTGCCCTAGCTAACACTTCTTGCTGCACTTACATAAATACCTCAGGAGTAGTGGAACAATGTACCAAATAAATTTTAGAACAAGCAAAATGGCTCAAAGAACAGTCCCTGGACTCTCAGGTGACTAGTCAGTATGGGCCCAGAACCAGTCTTGGTTACCCTCTGTTACTTGGTTCCTTCCCTTTTTAGGTCCTATAGTTGCCATATTGTTATTTCTGTGTCTTTAACCACTACTAAAGTTTGCTTCCTCTTGTTTAGAATCTATAAAACTCTGAATGATTGTACATGCAGAGGTCCAATTCCACTAAAGCCATATGGATTGTCCTAAATCCCCCTCAGAGGAACCCTGGCTGGCCGTCTAACTCTGTACCCCCACACAGCAGGAAATGGTCATTGCCCCTGATCCCTAACAGCAGTTAGGGTGCCATCTTAGAAGAGGGAATGAGGAACAGAAAGTAGGATATAATAGTTAGGGAAAGACAGTGGATTCCATGTGGCCTTGGTGATGCAGGGGCTTCTTCTTTCTGACATGCCCTGGGACTGGGAGGACCCCTGCACATCTGTACTTGTGCAGCACTCATGCACACAGATGAGGGAACCAATCAAAGGACACTTCTCACCTTCATGCACATGGATAGGGGATACAATCAGAGACAGAGAAGGACTATGTGGACAGGTGATGGAAGCCCAGGCAAACTGAAATGGAGCGTATACCCCACACCACCTAGGGGAGGGGAATGGGTGGATGATCTTAAAAGGGGAAATCCTGAGAATGTCAGCAGACTACTGGTTTCTGGGTCCCCTTCTTGTTGAATAAGTTCCTGCTTTACTTTAACTTTCTATTTCCATAATAAATCTTTGCTAAACTCTCTCACAATTTTCCTGCCTCTCAATTATTTGTCCAGCAGAAAAAAAGAACATGTACCCCTAGAGGGTAATGATATTACATTTTTGGTTTATTTTTCCCTTAGAATTTACAATCTAACATGTTACATCTTTTACATATTACTTGTCTGTCTGATCCTACTAAAATATCCATTCCTTAAAGGAAAAAAGTTTTGTTTGCTTTGTTCACTGCTGTATCCTCAGCACCCATAACAATGCCTGACACATATTAAACAAAACATATTCTTAAAAAAATTAAATGAATAAATATATAATTCTGAAGTATGCCTTTAAATAATAAAGGACAGTATCAATTACTGGAGCGCTCTTAAAAATAATTCTATACTGTGAAAATTTCTCAAGCAAGCATTAAAAGAAAGATATAAATTACAAATGAACAAGCACATAGCTGGGCATGGTGGTGTACACCTGCAATCCCAGCACTCTGAGCCAAGAGGACTGGGAGTTCAAGGCCAGCTTGGGATACATACCCAGACCCTGTCTCAAAACAAACAAACAAACAAAAACAGGTTAATTATAGAGATTCTTCTCATTTTGACTTTGATTCATTGCAAAGATAAGATTAAAACCAGGTTTCACATTACCTTAAGACATAGAATAGTGGTTGCCAGGAGCTGGGAGGAGGGGGAGTGCAGATTTAGTGTTTAATGGGTGTGGAGTTTCAGTTTAGTTTGTTTGGGGCTGAAAAACTCTTAGAGATGGATAGTGGTGATGATTGTACAATATGAATTTGTTTAAAGCCACTGAATTATACACTTAAAATGATTAAAATGATAAGCTTCATGTTAGGTACATTTATCACAATTTAAAAAGTCTATCTTAAATAAAAACAATTCAGGTAAAATTTTTGACCAAAATTCTGATCTAGCTCTGCATGGATTTTCTGCCTTCTTACCTTCCAATTATTGTTCCCTTTATCAAGGGTGAGTCTACTTGAATAAACTTAATTTCACTTATAAATTATCTATTGTTTCCCAATTCATGGCAGTGGTTATCAAAGAATGATCCTCTAACCAGTAAAATCAGCATCATTATAAACTTGTTAGAAATGCAACTCCTTGGTACTATCCACAGGCCGAGTGAGTTAGAAACTCTGGGGTAGACCCAGCAATCTGTTTTAATAATACCTGCAGGCATTTAGGGTAGATGTTTAAATTTGGGAACCTCTTATTTATTATAGCATAGCCTTAATCCCAATCCTATATGAAAGATTTTATGTACAATTTCTATCCACTGAATGATCAAAACAAGTCATATTTTTTTAATATTATCTTCCTCACAAAGCCAATCCTTTTCTCTAAGACATGACATACAAATTGGAGAAACAAAGAATTTGGAATAGACTATTATAAATAAGCATATTTCTTGATAGATTTGCCAACACAGTATGTGGGAAGATATCTGTGAAATGCATAGGAAAATCTCTCATATTTTGAACACCTGTGACACAGAGAAAATTTTACTCGGGTGAAGACAGTTTATGTGCAATAATAATAATAATAATAATAATAGTGAGTTGGCTTAAAATAAAATTTAAGAGGTTACAAACTGAAAATACCTTACCTTTTGAAGCAATCAACCTAGTGTTGTGTATAAATTACAATCGGACATAAAAAGCAATGAGAGATGAATGAAATTACACAAATTACAAGTAAACAATTGCCCCCTTAGCTGTTTTTACCTTCCATCCCCCCCCCAAATTGCAACATGGGTAATTCATCTACTCTAGGCTACTTACCACATGTGACTGTGCACATTCCGAACTCTACTTCTTTGACTATTGTCTTGTTTGAAACTAAATGTAAAGTGTAAAGATACATTATTTAATCATAAAATTTTTCAAAGTGAAAAACCTCTTACTTGGAGATAGGGGACACAAATATAAATATAGCCCATGGATAACAGATATATTTTCAAATTTTTCTACTTAAACCAACAAAGCCAAGCCATTCCTGACACATCTACTGTCATTATGCACATGAAAAGCAGCCAGGGCCTTTAAAGGAGTCCATTCAGTTAGGAAACAACTCACAAAGGAAGTTTGTGTTTAAGCCTTACATGTAACTTAAAGGTTTTTTCATCAGCTAATACATGGTAAATTAAAACTATTGCAAGTCAGAAAAACACAAAAAACCCTTTGAATTATAAAAAACACTTTTTCTAGTCTCTATTTTCCAGAAACAACAAAAAATGAAGTGCATATTTCCATCTATAAAGGAGTCTTTTTACCAAGTATGCACTAAAATTACAAAAGTTATAGGTTGGTCTTACTCATTTTCCAGGTTAAGATGATAAATTTAAATATTTCTTAGAATTTTATTTAGCAGGGTAATCTATAACTATTTGAGAAGCTAAATATTCTTAGTTCTTAGTTCTAAATCACATATTTCCTTCTTTCTTATTTCTGAAGTTTGACGTGAATTCTACTAAGTCTTCATGGTTCAGATTAGGACTTAAAACTCAATAGAAAAACAAAATACAAAATGAGGTGTCAGAGATAATTTTTAGAAGAAACTATATCTTGGAGTCACAAATTACATGAAAAGTACATTGGACTTGATGTCCAAAGAGCTTTTTTTTTTTTTTTTTTTTGCAGCACTAGAGTTTATACTCATGGCCTACACCTTGAGTCACTCCACCAGCCCTATTTTTATGATGGTTTTTTTTGAGATAGGGTCTTGCAAACTATTTGCGTGGGCTGGCTTGGAACCACGATCCTCCTGATCTCTGCCTCCTGAATAGCTAGGATTACAGGCATGAGCCACTGGTGCCCAGCCAGTGAAGAAGAGCTACTTCTACCACTAATTAGCTGTTGGAGTTTGAGCAAATTAATTAAATTCTGTCAGACCTAGTTAAGCCTTTGAAAAATTTGTAAAGGAGAACCAATCTCATCTGATATTATAAGAATTAAGATAGTGTGTGTAAAAGCATTCTATAAATTGTCTAACATCATAAACGTGCTTCAAATATAATAATTACTCAATTCAAACTCATTTTACCATTATTAATTTCATGTTATTAGATTTTTTCTTATTTTGACTATTGTAAAACTTCAACAGTTTCATAAACACTTTATTCTGTACTTGCAAGTACCAAACCCTGTACCATGAATACATAGTAAGCACTTCATGCATGTAAGTAGATCAATATTGACTTTGTTAAACAAATGATTTAGGCTATCACGAAGATCAAGTTTGAATTCACATTTTTATGCTTGGAATGCTTGAATACTTTCAGCTGGCATGAGATATAAGTTAAAGTTAAATCTGGAGCATAGAAAACCTTGATAAGAGAATGAGTACTGGATTACTTTTAAACATAACCACTTTTCAAAACCCAATAATCAATTATCTCTACTACTCACTATCTATACTACTTTGGAAAATTACTCAATTTCTCCTAACCTGAGTTTTCTTGGAGAGAAAAAAAAAAACCAAGGAGACTGAATCAGATAGTTTCTAAGGTCCCTTTCATCTTTAAAGTTCTTTAATGTATTGGGTTTCCATTAGATCATTCAGTGATTTTTTTATGGGATTTCTTTAATGGTAGGTCAGGGAAATTATGTGTCTAGATTGCATTATACACCAATGAGTGAAAAAGAAAACTATAGTTTGGATGTCAGTAAAGTTTGATGTGTAACTGGTTAAAGAGCAAGATCCACAGATGGTAATTAATTGGTTGGTGGCAATGTGTAGGTGTGATGTGTCACTGGGTTCTGTCCTATTCAGCCTTTCTATTAATGACCTGTAAAAGAATCCTGATACCATGCTCACTGAATCCAGGGTTCTGCAAAGCCAGGAAGGATAGCAAATATGTCTGATGATAAATCTGGACCTTAAACTGACAGGGTGAAAGAATGGTCAAATCTAACAAAATGTAACCTTAGAAGAATAAAGTCCTGTAAGTACAGTGGAAAGTCAGTTGTCCAAAAATACTGTATGGGTTGTCTTAATTTGATAGTAAAAAAGGTAAAAGTGAACCCAGAGTTCAACAGTGAGTTCACTAGGAGACAAGAATGCTGCCAGGACTCCCTAAAAGCCGACTGGGCCTTAGACTGCACTGATAAAAGCCTGTATTCACAATGATGCAGGCAATGATCCTGCTCTTTGTGATCTAGTCAGATACTGGAATTTCTTCTTCAGTTCCAGATTACCATACTGTAACTTTTGGTACCCATCACCAAGGTGCAATGATAATCTTTGAGTTTATTTTTTGAGAGATGATTTGTAACTTTGGTATTTCATTACTTTTAATTTCTGTTAGAATAAAAGAAAAACAGGGACTGGCAAAGTGGCTCAAGTGGTAGAGCACCTGCCTGGCAAACATGAGGCCCTGAATTCAAATCCCAGTGCTGCCAAAATAAATAAATAAATAAAAGCAAAAGAAAATATAGCTATATTTTGCAGAATACAACTTTTTATAGAATAAAACTCATTCAATACAGCCATTATTATGTAGGTCTGTTAGAACCTTTTATAAATCTAAGGGTATATTTATATAAAAGATATAAAATATATTTTAAAAGATATATATGACAGAAAGAAAGGTATATACTTAACAAATATCTTTGATGTCTTATTTATCTTGAAACATTTTATAATTTATGATGATGTTATGTCATCACTTATCACCAATTACAAACTATGTCTTTAAAAGTCTAACATAATAAAATTGAGGAATGTTTGGAATTGCCTAGAAAAGATGATGTAATTCTGAAATAAATCATAGCTATTACACCAGTGTTTTCTTATTGCTTTGTGTTCTTTCAGGAATATATGAAACAAGTCTAGCAGCACACTCCTTGCAATATATCTCTAGCTTTCATTGAACAAAGTTGAGATCTCAGAATTTTTTATTGTTTTCCATAATGGCCAAAAGAAGAAAACTAACAAGAGAAAAACATTCAAAATTATTAAATGAATTAGAAGATGAACACAAAGATGGACAGCAAAATATTAGATGATAAGGATAATGGTAGACTTGATTATTTAAGCAAAATCTTAGTGAGAGATGGTATCTTAGATGACTATTCTGGAAGAATACTCTGTAACTTAAGAATTGATGAGCAGCTAGGTGTCAGTGGTTAATGCCTATAATCCTAGCTACTTGGAAGGCTGAGATAGGAAAGATTACAGTTTGAGGCCAGCCCAGGCAAATAGTTCAAAAGACCCCCATCTCAAAAATAACCAGAGCAAAATTTCCTGGGGGTGTGGCTCAAACAGTAGAATGCCTGCTTTGCAAGCACAAAGCTCGTGAGTTCAAACCCCAGTCCACCAAAAAAAAAGATAAGTGAACATTTTTGTATTCTTAAGGAAAAGGACATAGGGTACATCTTTCAAGAAGAAGTATTTGATCCTAAAATACTTTGTGACAATAACCTTTACCATACTGTTTTTCTAAAAGGATGTGGACAGTATTCTTTTCTTTCTTCATGATATTTATGCACCAACATTTATATGAAAAGATTTGTAAGTGGACAAATCATGATGGCAGGTGTGTATATAAAGGTGACAGAACTGGGCATGGTGACTCACATCTCAGTAAGTGTAGCTACTCAGGAGGCAGAGATAGGGAGGATCAATGGTGGAGGGCCAGCCCTGGCAAAAAAGTTCTTGGGGAGGATCAATGGTGGAGGGCCAGCCCTGGCAAAAAAGTTCTTGAGACCTGATCTCAATAAGACAGAAAGCAGTAAGACAGGAAGAAGAAATAAAAAGAATACAAATTAGAAAAGAAAATGTCAAACTATCTCTATTTGCAGATGACATGATACCTAAAAGACCCTAAAAACTCTACCAAAAAACTTCTAGATATCATTAGCACCTTCAGCAAAATAGCATGATACAAAATCAATTTACAAAAATCAGTAGTAGCCTTTCGATACACCAACAATGAACAGACTGAGAAAGAATACAGGAAAACAATTCAATTTACAGGACTCAAAAAAAAAAAATACCTGGGAATAAACTTAACAAAGAATGTGAGAGACCTCTACAAGGAAAAGTATAAACCACTGAAGAAAGAAATCGAAGAAGACTATAGAAGATGGAAAGCTCTCCCATGCTCATGGATTGGTAGAATCAATATTGTGAAAATGGCTATATTACAAAAGCAATCTACATGTTTAATGCAATCCCCATCAAAATTCCAATGACATTCATCACAGAGATTGAAAAATCAACCCGAAAGTTCAAATGAAAGCACAAAAAAACTCAAATAGCCAAGGCAATCTGAGCAAAAAGAGCAACACTGGAGGTACCATAATACCCAACTTCAAACTACACTACAGAGCCATCGCAATAAAAACAGCATGGTACTGGCACAAAACCAGATACGAAGACCAGTGGAATAGAAGAACCAGATATGAATCCATGCAGCTATGCCCATCTGATTTTCAACAAAGGCGCCAAAAACATACAATGGAGAAAAGACAGCCTCTTTAACAAATGTTGCTGGGAAAATTGAGTATCTGCATGCAGAAAACTGAAATTAGATTCATGTCTTTCAGCCTTTACAAGGACTAACTCAAATTGGATTTATAAGACCTGAAACTTTGAATCTAGTGCAGGAAAAAGCAGGAAATACACTGGACTTAATAGGTATAGGCAATGACTTTCTAAATAGAACTCAAATGGCTCAGCAACTAAGAGAAAGGATTGACAAATGGGACTACATGAAATTAAGAAACTTCTGCACAACAAAAGAAATGGCCACTAGATTGAAGAGGCTACCCACAGAATTGGAGAAAATCTTTGCCAGCTATAAATCTGTCAAGAGATTAATAACCAGAATATACAGGGAGCTCAAAAAACTGAACTCCCAAAAGATCAATGACCCCATGAAGAAATCGGCAAGAGAACTGAATAGCGCTTTTTCAAAAGTCCAAATGGCTAAACAACACATGAAGAAATCCTCACCATCCCTGGCCATAAAAGAAATGCAAATCAAAACCATGTTAAGATTCTACCTCACACCTGTTAGAACAGCTGCTACCATCAAGGACATAAACAAATGTCATCAAGGATGTGGAGAAAAAGGAACCCTCATAGATTGTTGGTGGGAATGTAAATTAGTACAACCACTATGGAAAATAGTAGAGATGCTCCTCAAAAAACTAAAAATAGAACTGCCATGTGATATGGCAATACCATTCCTAGAGATATATGCAAAAGAATGTGAGTCAGGTTACTAAAAAGGCACCTGCACACCCATGTTTATTTCAGCGTTATTCACAATAGCTAAGCTATAGAAATAGCCAAGATGTTCCACTACTGATGAATGGATTAAGAAAATGTGGCATTTATATACAATGGAATTTTATTCAGTCTTAAAGAAGAATGACATGTTGTCATTTGCAGGTAAATGGATGGAACTGGAAGCATCATTTTAAATGAAGTTAGCCCGGTTCAGAAAGCCAAGGGCCACGTTTTCTCTCATATGTGGAATATAGGCCCAATACAAATACAGCAATATTATGAAAAACAGGTCACGCTGAGGGGAGGTCACATACAAAAGAGGGGAAGGGTAAAAGAAGAAAGTTAAGAAGGTGAATATGGTTAATATATTTTCTATACGAGAATGAATACAGAATTTTTAAACCTGTTGAAATCGCCGTAAGAAGAAGACTAATGTAGAAAGGAGAAAAATAGAGGGGATGGACCAATTTGGGTTATAATACATATATACATGGAAATGACATGTATACAATGAAACACCCTGTATAGCTATTTAAACAAACAAAAATGTAATTTTTTTCCACAAAAATGGGAAACAGAAAGGCAAAACAGGGACTGGTACCAGTGGGAGGGGGGAGGATATAAGGAAAGGGTGTAGGAGGGTGAATGTAGTAGAAATATTATGTATTCGTGCAGGTAAATGGAAAAATGAGACCTGTTGAAACTATTCCAGGAATGGGGGAGGGAGAATAAAGAATGATGGAGGGGTGAATTCAACTATGATATATTGTAAGAACTTTTGTAAATGTCACAAGGTACCCCCAGTACAATAATAAAAATAAATAAATAAATAAATAAAGTGGTGTGGCACTGTGCACCTGTCAGCCCACTTCAAGTGAAGTTAAATAGGAGGATCACAGTACAGGCTGGCCCCGGCATAAACACTAGACCCTATTTGATAAATAACTAATGCAAAAAGGGCAGGGGCCATGGCTCAAGTGTCAGAGCACCTACCTAGCAAGTTGAGGTCCTTAGTTAAAACCCTTGTACTATCTAAAATAAAAAAATAAAGCTAACAGAAAGAATATAGACAAGGAAAGGAATAAAACTCATTGAACTAATCATTCAAATTGGTGAAACTAAAAATGAGCTCGGGTTGGTATCAGTGGGAGGGGACAGGATATAAGGAAAGGGTGTAGGAGGGTGAATGTGGTGGAAATACTGTGTACTCATGTATGAAAATGGAAAAATGAGACCTGTTGGAACTATTCTAAGAATTGGGGAGGGGAGATAAAGGAGAATGACGGAGGGGGTGAATTCAACTAAGATGTATTGTAAGCACTTTTTAAACATCACAATGTACACCCAGTACAATAATACAATAAAAAAACACAAAAAAAATTTTAATGAGGTGGGAACATAGCTCAAGTGGTAGAACACCTGTCTGACATTTGTGAGGCCCTGAGTTCAAACCCTAGAACTGTAAAAAAAAAAAGATAAAAACTAAACAGTTTGCAATTATGCAGCAAAAAAGATGTCATCCCCCTCAACAAAGTGTTTTGAGAATACAAATGTGAAAAAAAACCAAAGTAATGATACATTAGATTCTACTAGAGATGTACTTGAAATCTGGAATCGGTGTTTACGTGGATACAGTCCAGGTTCAGCTAAAGAGCTGAACTTTCAAATTACTTACTTTACTCTGTTACTTTCAAATTACTCTGTCCAGTTAGGGTATGTACAGCTTCAAAGCTAGGCTATATGGAATAAGGTTTTGGGCTTTGCTATGTTGAATTCTTATTAAAATTTTGAACAAAATTGTTTTCTCTAACCCTTTATTCTTTCTTTGTAAATTATTTCTAAACAGACTTAAAAGTGAAAAAAATTAAGAGCCCATTAGGACTTTTACAACAATTCTGGAAAATTTCAGATATTTGAAACCTCTGATTGTTTACAGTTCTAGATTCTCAATCTCTCCAAGAATACTCACCTATGCATCTATTATACACATAAGTTTCCAGAGGGTTCAGACTCCCTGAAGTCCACTGATGTGGACACTGAGAGAATAAGTAACTTACCTATGTTTGAATTTGAATTTGAATGTGTGGTATTATCAGTCCATCACCTGGGGTTAGCCTAAATAATATTGGCATTTTACATCTAGCCATATCCCTTCACTACTTCAATACTAAGATTGTTTGATTACTTTAAAAGCTAGAGTGAAGCAATACTTATTAGAACATGTTCTCTTCTTCTTCACATTTCCAAAGTCAAGGACCTTTTTAAGCTCTTTGTAATGTTATCAAGGCCATACAAAGCTGTATCAATCCCACTATTAACCTCAGGTAGTCAATTGCTTTCTGATGCTGAGGGCCACTATCTGTCATCAGGAAATAAAAGGTAGGCTAATAGACAGCATACCCACTCCATATGTATAGATTAAGGAGACACAGAATGCCAAGGCTATTCAGAGAATCTCAGCTGGGTCATTGGGGGGTGGGGAGGGGGAAGGGAATCATTCTCCCTTAAAGGCTGCAAACCTGTGCAACTGACCTTTTACCTTTCCAGCATGTGAGTTGCTAATCAATACAACATGCACAACAGCTTGTCAAGGTTTATTGCGTAATGAGCCAGCAGTATCAGGCAAATTTATGTACCAAGCACAGGCTTGTTCTCCTTGGCCTTTACCCGTTACCACCTAACAGTGCCATTGGTTGGATCACTTGTTAGGTGTTTTCTACTGCCACCCTTCCTTTGTTTGAAGTTAAACATACACTTAAAACACTAACACGCTGTAAAGGTGGTGAATGGGACATGGGACTTATGGTCAATTTAGACGTGTCACAGTAAGGGGAATTCTGACTTCCTTGGATTTCCCATCCCTAGGGCAAGTGTAGCAAGGAAGAGGACTTCAAGCAACTTGGAACTTAAAAGAGCAAACAAAAAAACCTAAGAACAGGAAGGGAAAATGACTGCAACAAGAGTCAAAGTGATTCCCCACGGTGGGAGGCTGCCTCCACCCCTCAAAATTGTGTTTTTCTGTCTGCAAAGCACATTTAAAATGTTTCTGTATATCCGCTGGTTGGTTTATGCTGCGGTAGCACATCCTTCTTCAAGGCCCTACGGTGCACAAATTGGCATACATGGGGCTGATGTGGATGCAACAGGGCTCTACAGATGGAGTCACAGGCGTCTGCCCTCCACCGGGCCCTCACCATCCTCCTGAACCACGTCCGGGGCCTGGTTCTCCGGGGGAGCCTGGCTATCCGAGATCTCGCTGTCGCTCTCCGCCTCTTCCTCCTCGGGCTCGGGCTCGACCTCGGCCTCACCCGGGCTCTCGGCCTCGGCCTCGTCCTCGCCCTCTCCGTCGCCCTCGCCCTCGTGGCCCAAACCGGGATCCTGGATGGCGGTGCCGTTGGCCCCGCACGCGGACTGGAGGCCCGCCAGGAGCAGCCAGCCAAGGGACAGCAGCACCTCGGCGGAGCAGCCCGCGCCCCCGGGGCTCATGGTTCTCGGCCTGACGGCTCCTGAGAGAGGTGGTTGGAAGACAGGTGCTACGCCACGCGGGATTCGAGCCCCACGCCGCGCCCAGGCAACCTTTGAAGCGTCACGGCTCGTAACCACTTCCCGCCCACGGGACCGCGCCGAGCTCGACGCCGAGAACGCGCGCGGGCGATGCGGGGGAGGCGGGGGCGGGGCCAACGCCAAGTTCACGGCGGCGGTGCGTCCGCTGCGCATGCGCTTGCCAGGGCCGCTCTGGCTGCGGGCTGCTTGCTTGGTCCAAGTTTACCCAGCTGCCTGCCAACCTCTTTCCACGCCCTCTAGATTTCTTCTAAGGCATGCCGTTGTGCTTCCTGCGCCCTTTCCAAACTAGACTCCTTAGCCCCTCCAGTATTCTTCATGGGTCTCAAAATTATCCAAAATACCCAACTTGGCATGTATCAAGAAGGTTGTAGCCTTATTAAGTGTGATTGCCTCAAACTGGATCCATAACTGCAGATGAGGTTTGGTCAGCAGTAGATGTAGGGGAGCAGTCTCGTTCTTACATCTGCATGCAACTCAACCATGTATTCACATTTTAAGATGTTGGGCAGCACCATCAGCCCTGGGCAGGGCTCCTTAGAGATAGACTGGGTAAAGGAAGGGAAAGAGGGAACAGTTGTCAAGCTAATTTGTGCCTGTTACGTTTTTTGGATAACTGATGTTTTGGGTACTAATATGGAACATTCTTGGTCATTTCCATTTTCTTGTGTTTGGCATTTATTTTTCCCCCTCATGGGGAGATACTTTTCCTCATTCTCTTGTCTTCAAGTATTAAGTATCTCTCCCCAGTTTGTTTTGGAAAATACATCTCCTTCAGGTCACTGTCAAAAATGTTAACAAATGCAACAGTTCAAGTATAGAGCCCAATGAGGTCAGTGTGACAAATGCTCCACTAATCCATACATTGATTCAGTCCAGACACTGATTTAAGAATCTATTCCTTTACCAAAAAGGAGTTCATGTCTTTTACTAAGGTTGAATCAGACTAGGAGCAAAAATATCTTAACACCTTAGCATTTCCACTTGAATCAGTAGAAAATTTTAGAGCTTAAGTATAATTCTCCATTTCCTTATGCAATATCAATACATCCAATTATGTCATAGAAAGAAATGTGATTCAACTAATTTCCTCCCATTGGCGGTGTTAATTTCAATGGTCTCATTAACTCAGATTTCTTCTTCAGGAATAGAATCATAGAATTTTTGAGCCAGAAAGAGGCTTAGAAATCATCAAAATACTCCAAGTCCTTCATTATTAAGTGAGGAGATTAAGAAGTGCTTTGCAAAGCTGGGTCTCACAACCATATCTCCTGAATGCTCAGTCAATGCTTGGGGATCCTTACAATTCAGAGTCAACAACGAAGCTGTATCTAATGGGGTCTTTGGAGTCAAGTTCAAGCACTGAAAGCAAATTAACTTTGAGAAGTTTTTTGTTATTCCAAGTTTGATTTCCTCAAGTTGTTATAATGTAGTAGCTTATTGTGTTTGAAAAGATGCATAGGGTATGATACTTTGAGGTTCAATATTTAAAGTCCTATGCCACATGTTATGAAAAGTCACAAACCTCAAGTGAACTTGAGACATGAACCAGCTTTTGGAACATTGATAACATCCAGTCTCAGCAGATTATAAGCAAGGAACATTGAGGTCCTTCAGAGCCACTTATTTGTAGCAAAGGTAGGTTATTTAAAGGGCTGGGTGTGTGGCTGAAGTGGTAGAGTGCTTGCCTAGCAAGCATGAGGCCCTGAGTTCAAATCACAGTACTGCCAAAAGAAAGTTAAATTTTTTATTTGATTTTTTTTCTCACAAAGCCTTCAAGTTTTGAAAAGACACAAACTTCTAAAAATGGTCAGTATTAAAGTTGGAATTGATATTGATAAGGATTCTCTGGGAATGTTTTATATGAAACAAAATATGATCACACCTGACAATACTTTTTTTATGCAGGACATTAAACTGGGAAATCTTTAAATGATCTTGAAAAGACCCTTGTTTCATGACCAAATGAAAGAGCCAAAATTTTTCTTTTTTCAATTCTGAGCAAAAAGTCCAATGTTGGAGGTATCCCAATTCCCAACTTCAAACTATACTACAGTGCCATAACAATAAAAACAGCATGGTATTAGCACAAAAACAGACATGAAGACCAATGGATGGATCAGAACAGAAGACTCAGACATAAACCCACACAGCTACAGCTGATTGATCTCTGACAACGGAATCAAAAACACACAATGGAAACAAGACAGCCTTTTTAACAAATGTTGCTGAGAAAACTGGATATTCACATGTAGCAGACTGAAACTAGATCCCTGTCTTTCACAAGATCAAAGACCTTAATATAAGGACTGAAATTCTGAAACTACTCCAGGAAGCAGTAGGAAATACACTGGAACATATAGGTATTGGGAACGACTTCCTAAGTAGAACTGAAAAGGCTCAGCATCTAAGAGAAAGAATGAACAAATGGGACTGCATCAAACTAAAGAGCTTTTGCACAGCAAAAGAAACAGTCATGAGACTCAAAAGACAGCCCACAAAATGGGAGAAAATCTTTTCCAGCTATTCATCCAATAAGGGACTAATATCCAGAATCTTCAGGAACTCAAAAAACTCATCCCCCAAAGAATCAACATGCCAATGAAGAAATGGGCACATGAATTAAACAGGGAGTTCTTAAAGGAAGAACTCCTTCAAATAAAGGAAGAACTCCAGCAAATACATGAAGAAGTGTTTAACTTCCCTGGTTATAAAAGAGATGCAAATCAAAACTACACTAAGATTTCATCTCCCCCAGTTAGAATGGCCACATTCAAGGGCAATAACAACAACAAATGCTGGCGAGGATGCGGTGAAACAGGAACCCTTATACACTGTTGGTGGGAATGCAAATTAGTGCAGCCATTATGGAAAGCAGTATAGAGATTCCTCAAAAAGCTAAAGATAGAGCTGCCATATGATCCAGTGATACCACTCCTGGGCATCTACCCAAAGGAATGTAAGTCAGGATCCAATAGAGACACTTGTACACCGATGTTCATCACAGCACTATTCACATTAACCCAAGCTATGGCAACAACCCAGATGCCCTAAAACTGATGAATGAAGTGAGAAAATGTGGTATGTGGGGAGAGATTATGAGAAGACTATGAGAACTTGACATAAGCACAGTTGTGCTCAATGATCTACAGGCTGAGTTTGTCATGGCTCCAGCTGCAGAAAGGGGTGAAGGTAAAATGCAACACAGCTGCTTTTTCTAAGTTGTTTACATTCAGAGAAAGAAGTAGGAAAGAAGGTTTCTCTTGTTACAATGCCACACCCCTCCCTGAGAACTGTTGCTCCACCTCCTTGTTTACAACTGGATATAAAAGACTCGCTGAAGGAGGACAGGGTTTTTGGTTGGTGGGCTGCTTGCAAGAATGATGCTGCTGCCGCTGCTGCTGCCACTGGCTGTTGTGTGTCTGCGAGTCTGAGGACCCAGACTTTAAAGGGAACTTGGGACAGTGCAAGTCTAAGGAAAGAGATTTTAAAGAACAGAAAAGAAGAAAGACTTTAGAAGTAAGGTTTTAAATATAGAGAAAAAGAAGCAAAGTAAAAGGAGAGTTAATAGAGAAAAGAAGCAATAAAGCTGTAATGCTCTCCATCCAAGTGCCCAGCACACCTGGCCCCAGCTTTGTGCATGTTTGTCTGTCTTTTATCCTTTCTGCATCTCCAGTCGCCCCCAGTTGGTCAGGTAGTGACAGAGCTATGGAGAAAGCTCGTGACAGTGGTATACATACACAATGGAGTTTTACTCAGCCATAAAGAATAGTGACATGTTGGAAAGTAAATGCATGCAATGGGAGGACATCATGTTAAGTGAAGTAAGTCAGGTTCAGAAAGACAAAGGCCCCATGTTTTCTCTCATATGTGGAAGTTAGATCCAAAAGATAAACATATACACAAAAAACAAACATGATCATATACAAACTTATATGCAGAACATGTTTGTAACAGTGAAACTACTCTGTGGAACTCATGGAAGAAGGGAGAGGAAAAGAGAATGATAGCGCATCAATAATATCGTAAAACATAACATCTGTGAACGTGGAAGATATAAGGAAGTGTATTGAAAGCTGTTGAAAATGGGGGTGGGAGGTAAAGGGGTAAGGGAGAGTAATGGAAGGGGTTGAATGGACCAAAGTAAAATATAATCACAGAGGGGATACATTCAGAATCCCCTTTGAACATTGTCTTAAATATTAATAATAAAAGACAAGACTGTAAAATAGGTTCTGTGCATTTGGGGGTGATAGTGGGATGGGGAGGGTGAATGAAGGAGATTAAGGTGAGGGTATATGGTTGATGGACTTCATATATATATGAAATAGAACAAAGAAACCTCTTGCAATTGCTTTGAGTGCAGCAGGGAGGGGGTTAAGGGGGAGAGCCGGTGGGGGTGACCTAACCAATGTATAATATAAGCCTATTTGGAATTGTCAATATGAATCCCCCCATATGAATATATCCTAATAAAAATTTATAATAACATTTTTTTCTTTTTTGATTGCTCAAAAAAATAAGTAAAAAATTAGGCAAATTGTTGAGTGTTTCAAAGTCAGTTTTAGGATCTCTCATCTTTAAGATAACCTGCTTTTTGAACACAAAATCCATAAACACTAAAATATGCATTTAACTCAAGAAAACAATAATGGCCTAATAAATAAATATCTCCGAAGGGAGTTCAAATAGGTCTCAAAGAGGAACCAAAAGCTATAAAGAATACTGAAAATATATCTACAGTAGCTACAATACCAAAGACCTATAAAATCATGTGTTCCTTGTATAACAAATTAACAAATTGTGTGCTTGTATAAAAAAGGTGTAATATCTGTTCTCAAGGAACTTATACCCACTCTATGTGAAGCTACAAATAAATGAAAGGGAAATTTTTAGCCGGGGTATAGACAAGGTTGACTTTACTC